TAATTTTGAATTCAACAATTTGTAATTGTTACCATTTAAAAACCTTGTTTTTAGAGTGCCAGGAATCCTGTGGGCACACACACAAAACCATAAAATTATAAGTAGCAAGATGATAAAGCTGTTCAATGAATCGCCCAACGCATAACTTTGCTTACTAAAAGCTACACTGTTTTCAAGACATTTCAGCATGAAACACTCCCACAGGGACACTAAATCCGGCAAGAGACAACTATTGATAGCAAGCAGCTAGAAAGGTCAGCATCAGAAGTACACAAGGATCACAAACAAATGTAGTGCGACTTTAGTCCTGAAAGCTTAAAACCTACAAAGCAGAAAAATGAGGGGATGCAGAAAAGAGACAGAGTCAGAGCAAAATCACTTCTCCAGCATACTTTGTGGCATAATTAAATCTCAAGAAGTCCTTCCCAATCTGGGTTCCTTACTGTTAGTCAGTTACCAATTTGGCATAAAGATCTAAGCAAACAGGTTTTCTCCAAGGGCACACATATAGTTCATGGTGCCAATTCCACTATAACTGGCCCAATTTCACTGAAATCCCAAGGCGGCTTGATTAAAAGAGAAAAGAGAGAGACAGAGAGGAACAGAGCGAGCCCCCTCTAAAATCAAATCCAAAAGCAGCAGGACATTCCACTCAACAGAAGGACTTTTTCCCTGGTTTCAATAATAAAAACACAAGAAACAAATGAAAAATGCTACTTATGTTTATTACTTTGTGGTTGTATTTTAATGCTTGAAAAAAAAACAAAACAAAAATAAAAAAACAAAACAAAGCCAATTCTAAATATTACCGGCCATCCATTGTCATCCTCATGACACTATTAAATAAAATTCTGGCTTCATAGACCAGAGCCACCTTAGGGGTTCTGGTTAAGAATATTTATTATGCTTATATGTGTGCTCTAAAAATTAGGTTGAAATGAAAAACAAAAAAAACAAATCCAACTGGCCAAAGAGGGAAGAATTCTGGTGGACAATTGGACCACTGTGTTGCAAATTAAACTGTTCACACCTGCAGAATAATCTCACCAGCATAACCAGTCTACCCTGAAATGCAGCCCCCTTACACCAAAAGGGGGATCTCTTCTTCCACTAGAGCCTATCTTTCACTGATAAACTCTTTGGATGAGAAAACCAGCAGCAGATGTGAAAGCCACATGGCCCTCTACAAAGCAGGAGAGCAAAAAGCAGTGTTAAAAGAAAGGATTCCTTAAACAGCAGCTCCCTATCAAGAATGAAGATTTTATCATCTAATGCTGACTTTGTGGAAAGCAGCTAGCTATTAGACCCTGTTCCAAGACTTCAGCTAACAGCATCAGGCTGAAATCCAGGAGTTGGACTCACTTAGCTACAGCCTTGTTTTCGACTCTTGGGAACAGGGCCAAAGTGTAAAGTTAGAATAGAACAAATCCAATTTCCAACGGAAAGAAGAAGACAATATAGGTACTCTTGCTTAATGCAACTGATAGGCTCTGAGCACGGTTTACATTTCAGTATTTTTATTTAGTGAATTTTAGCCCTGGAATAATTTTTTCCATCATTTCTTAAAGATTCCAGACTCTGCATCAAAAAAATATCTGCCAACACCCCCACTTAATATTGTGGCAATCAAGAATACTGAAAACTTTTTCAAATTCATATCTAGGTAGAAAATTTTGATTAGGCAAACTGCTTCATATAGTGTAAAACCAGAAACTTTTTAAATTGTCCTGTATTTTGTATGACTTCATTGAACTACCAGAGGTAGCAAGCTCTAGAGTCTAAATTTGGCTACAGTTTGCACCTCTCAAACTGCCTTAATGTTTTTAACTTCACATTTTTTAAAATTTTTTTTAAAATTTTTTTATTTTTAAAATTTTTTTATTTTTAAAAATTTTTTATTTTTAAAAATTTTTTTTTTAAAAAATTTTTTTATTTTAAAAATTTTTTTATTTTTAAAATTTTTTTATTTTTAAAATTTTTTTATTTTTAAAATTTTTTTATTTTTAAAAATTTTTTATTTTTAAAAATTTTTTATTTTTAAAAATTTTTTTATTTTAAAAATTTTTTATTAAGTTTATTTTTTTGAGTAATCTCTACACCCAACCTGGGGCTCAAACTCGCAACCCCAAGATCAAGAGTTGCATGCTCCTCTGACTGAGCTAGCCAGGCACCCCTGGAATTTTAGCATACGGTTCTGGTACCACTCCATTTTACCTATCCCTTTCCTTTAAAGGTGTAGACACATGTGTAAAATGCAGTCTAGAATCCAGAGATAGGAAATGGTAGCGACTAGACAAATTAAGTCTTTGGGAATTAGAGACAATGAATACTCTAGTTTCTTCTGGGGAATACAGTTGTCCACAAAAGCCAAATGGTCAGCAATCACACATTCAACTTATGAGAAATTATACACTTCACCCATTACACTCTTTACCAAAAAGAAGTGAACAAGAGACCTAATTTAATTTGCCTCTCAAAGTGCGGTCAAAGCCACAAGGGTATTACCTGGTTAGAAATGCAGAATATCAGGCCCTACCCCAGATCTCCTGAGTCCGAATTTGCATTTTATCAAGATCTGCTGTGATTCATGTACACAGTCCAGTGTGGCCTTGACGGTACGTGCCACCATGCCGCCCCATGGGCATATGCCCCAGAACAAGCAGGAGATGGGGGACACAGATCTGCACTTCCCTCAGGGGGTGTCTGTTCTCACATGCCTCACACCTGACGGAGTGGAATTCTAGTGTTTAAAGGGTCATTTGGACGATATGCCTAATACATGACGTCACTGTTTTGTCCCCCGGCTGACCTTCAGCTCTCCACCTAACAACTGGCTTGATTTAACCAAGGGCTGGCATTTTTGCATTAATGGTGAGGACATTAACAGCTCAGGCTAGCTCTGTAAAGGCCAGCAGAGTTGTCAGCCACAGGTCGACCATAACTCAGACTGCAGGAAGAACAGAGCACTTGAACAGATGGCCACAAAAAGATAAACACCAAGCGGTGATAAGGAACCCAATCCTTCCAGTTCAAGGTTGCGTTCCCTCAAGGAAAGTTGCTATCCATTTCATTAATTCTTTAAACGTTGCAATTCTGATAAGTAAATCTGTTACCCAAGAGCTGCCTATCCTTGCATTACAAGCAGAAGGAAATCTTGAACGTTAGTTTAATAATCACTTACCTGTGCGCACCTTCCTAGTTCTTTCCTGTCCAGATACTGAAATATATTGATTGCCAGTTCATAAGGCAGTTGGATATCAAAGAAGGGCACATCATCCATTTCATTCTGAAGAGAAAGAGGAAAGGGAAATAAGTTCACAATTCAGAGGTATGAAAACGCTCCTTTATACAGCAAGAGATATTCTTCGGTGGGAAGGACAGAGGTGCTGTTGTCCCTGGGGGAGGCACACATTCTCACTACCCCATGGGGCAGCCACCAGACCTGAGAGCCACTCTGAATTCTGCCACAAGCCCACCCTCCTCACATTCACTCAGAAAATACACAAGACCATTTCCCATAAGGCTTCAAAAAGGAGAAGCAAGGGTGCCAACTCACAATCTGGGGTATGCCACAGGAATCAGTGCAAAGGTTGTAGAAAGTCTCGTGGCCTCTAAGGAAAGTTGAGTGGTGGGCAGCCAAGAAAGGGAGCCTTGAAATCAGAGGGGCCACCGGTCCCCCCAGGACAACTCCTACTACACCCGACTTGGGAGGGCAGTAAGCCCCCACAGCCAGAGAAAATGCTGGCCTAGGTCACTAAAGTGGTTTCATCAGGAAAAGAACAGGGCTATGAAGATGAACAAGAAGTAAACAAACAAAACGCCGCTCTTAAAGAAGGTGAGCACCACCTCCACTTGGCCACTGGAGAAACACACCGTTTCCTAATGCACTCAGGGGCCTACACTGGTTAACCTGAGTGAGCCAGTGCAAACAAAGCAGTTCTTCTTCGGTGTCATTTATTAATGTGGAGAAATTAGAGCTCGCCTGCCTTCGGATAAGCAATTAGGGATGAGGTAACGGGCTTTATTTGAGAGATAAGGCTGTCATGACGATCCTGGTTGCACAAAGAAATAGGAGTGTGAAGCAGAAAGAAAGCCAAGTGTGTATATGTGCCCCTCTGCCTGTTCCCAAATCCACCTGCTAAAGCTCCCTTTTGCATGTATTTCTGCAAAGCTAGGGAAAGCGGGCTGTTTGTCTCAATGGAACTTCCTTAAATAAAATTCATTTTTAATAAGCTTTGGCTGACATTAGTGACTTACAGGTTGCAAGCAAATTATTAATTCACCACTCAAATACAATAGTCCTATACCACAAGGCTGCAGTCTGAAAACTGAAAATAGTCTCAGCATTTTTAAGGGAGTGTGAGCACTGATTTAGCCCCTACCAAGATCCAGGGATAAAGATCTTTGTGAAATCATGTTTCCATTCATCTATGAGTCTCAGAGCTAAAAGATAATGCAAGGCATAAGAAGGAAATGTATTCAACTTCACGAAAACAGTGCAAGGCTAAGTATGAGAGCCAAAAACGATCTCTGGAGGGAAAAAGAGCAAGACAGTTCTCTGTGGGCAAAGACAGTACAGAATGTTAAATCAGCAAAGAAATGTTGGCCATACGGGGGGGAGGGGGGGGGCAAAAAAAATCTGCAAGTGTAATCAGAAGGCAAAGGGGTCCCTGCCCAAAAAAATAATGGAAAGTCTTAGTCTAATGTCAGGCTGGGTCCCCTCTTACAAATAATTGGCTTCACTCATGGAGGAAGAGAGGCAGCACTTTCTCACTTGGCCCAGATATAACCTGAGACTCCTTAACACAACCGAGGCAGGGGAGAGGGGTGTCACCCACCACCAGCTGAGGAAAGTCACACACAAAACCACACTATCGTTTGTGACCGTGGACTTCCTTCTGCTTTCTCTTTTGGATTATTTGACTATGGTGAGGTGAAGAAGCCTACTTTACCTGCTTGGTAGAGAAACAAGAGAATAATGTTCCTTATCCTCATACAAGTAGAATGAAGGCAAAGAAAAGCCCGCACTCATGCAAAATGAACACAGATCTAGCTTTTACACTGTTAAAGACACCAGGCACTGCTTTCTTCAATCAGTCCGCGCTTTAGGACTATCACCTGGTTTCTGGATGGGACACTAACGAAACAGGAGACATCACCTTTATTTTTAGTCATTCTGGTGTAGAAAAGTCACACTTGCGGTAGCAGAAGCCTCCCCTCTTTTGCCCATTCAGATGGCCGATTCTCTGTTCTCATCCTGGAACACAGTGCCTCTACCCCAGCAGAACCACGACCCTGCCACCGTCCTTTTTGATCCCAACCACCACAAACTCTGGGATGGAGGTTCAGAACAAAGATTCAAACGGATAATCCTGTTTCTGCCACTTGACTAGCCATGTGACCAGGCTAAATACCTCCAAGTCTCAGCTTCCTCATCTGTAAAAGAGAGCATACCTACTCATAGGGTAGTTACAAGAATAAAATGAAATATATGGAAAGGGCATGGGGCAAGTACCAGGGCAAACAACACAATAACTGATTGATACTGCTATATTCTTTCCTGAAGTGACACTTTGGCTCCCTCTTTCCCCCTTCAACAAGTATTTGTGGATTAGAACCACATTCCAGGTGATTCCTCTACCAGCTTGTTTACACAGAAAGTTTTGTCTCCCCCTGTCCTACCACAAGCAGAGGGTTGCCGGTGACAGCAGGGAGGGGATGGCATGGTGGATGCAAAGTCACTAAGGAGTCTGAACAATGGGAACGTCCACGCCATAGGTCTTTTTTGAGAGAAGTTTTCAAAGAGAATCAGCAATTTTAAGACGCTATACCATGGTAACAACTAGAGAACGATTTGTTCTAGTGTACAGTGCAGGAAAAGGAGGCAGCCACCAGAGGGCAAATGACCAGTCAGGGGTGTTATGGCCCCCATACCAACAAAGGATCTCAAATGCCATACTGGTCACGTTAGCATACCAGTTGTGATGGGTCTGGAGAATTTTTAAGTTCTGCGGGACAACTGTTTCAAAGCACTGAATTATGTAAACACCAACATTACAAAGCCAAACTTTTATTTATGTTTTAAAAAGACTTTATTCATTTGACAATGAGAGAGGGAACACAAGCAGGGGGAGTGGGAGAAGGAGAAGCAGGCTTCCCACGGAGCAGGGAGCCCTATGCGGGGCTCGATCCCAGGATCCTGGGATCATGACCTGAGCCGAAGGCAGACGCTTAACGACTAAGCCACCCAGGCGCCCCAAAGCCAAACTTTTAAATCATTATGCCCTTAGAATTACAAATCAAGTTCCAGACTCCCTGTTGCTACCGGTGGTTAGGGAATGGCAGGGAAAAAAAGAAACCAATGTGATAAAGGAAGGTCCACATCTTTAGACCTATGTAGACCCACAAGGTCAGGAAACCAAAGGCTGAAGTTTCATGTTGCACACTTGTAAACTCTTTGGCAAGACATTTGATCACTGGTTCTTATAGTAGATGCTGCAGTGGCTCACTCAGATTCCCCCTTCTGGATCCATGACACTTATTGTCCCAAATGCTCAGATGCTGCCTGCTCTGGGCTCATTGGCTCAGCTGTCAAGCACTTCCTAGGCACTACCCGTGGTCAAACAAGCTGCCTCGTCCAAGGTTACATCCCCTACTGGAAGGCAGCCTGCATCCAGTGACTAGTCAATACCTAGGTACAAAGGCTTGTCCCCCTTGCCACAATTCAGGGCTTCTCCGGAAGGCCAACCTGCTAAACCACCCGCAGGCAAATCTCCATCCCAGTGTCCTGAAAAATCCAACCTGATTTCCCGAAGCAGTAGATGTGATGATGCAGGACAGTTCTATATCCAACACATTCCCAAAGGTTCTGATGCACAACTCTGGAGAAAGGAGTCTAGCTAACCTACTTCCCTTCCCTCCACTCAAGGAGGTGAAATGACGTTGGAGTGACATTATTAAACCAAGAGACAGAACAAATTAGATTCAAAGTTAAATAAGTCATTCGTAAACCTCATTTTGTTATTAGTAACAGATCACTTAAGAAACACCTTATAAAAGATTGAGAGTTAGGAGCATGTTTGACCCTGTAGTTGAAAATAATTCTTTTATAGACACCCAGGATTTGACAAGGATGTAGAGCCACATCCTGGACAGAAGTGCTAGCCCAATAAGCACGCACACGCTCACACCGGGGCTTGAGCACTCCCACTAGGCCCTGCCCACAGCTCGTAAATAAAAGTAAACAATACTACACCTGCTGCAAGTATGCAGAGAAGTACCTTATCATCTAAAGGGGGCCATCAGCCTTCCACCTAGGCCGTTCTGAAGCACAGAGCCATCTGAAAAGTTCTAGGCCACATGAACCAATTATGATTTATATGGTTTTAAAAACATGGAAGCAGACAAGTAGACATTTCAGAAACAAAGAAATTCCAAGAATGAAGGAAAGAGGTTAAAGACACTGGAAATATTAACACAGAGAAACCTGGTCACACTGAAAATATTAATAGGACCACAATGTTTAGTCCGTTATTTTCATAGCCCAAGCAATGTGAGACTGGCCAATAATGCTACAGAAAACCAAGACGTTAAAGTATTAACATGGCTTCAATGAGAGGAAAAACACCGTTTTGATTAAATACAACTTAGCTTTTAATTTTTCAATGGCTCAAATATTGATTCTTTACCACTATGGTGACTCTTGTCCTGTGTTATACATCAAGACTATCTGTGGAGTTTTTTAAAAATGCCCCCAATTGCGTTACCCCAAATTTCCAGGGGTGGGGCTCAAACATCTCTTCCTCGGGGATCCTCAGGCACACTAGAAATCAAGAACCACAACCCTAAATCATAGGTGGATTAAAAAAAAAGGCAAAACAAAAAAAAAAACCCCACACAAACCCCACAAAGAGATCATGTTACTTTGTTAATTCAAAGTCAGCGAATACTAGATTTTCCCAAAGTCTGCTGGACTTACTCCAAAAATTCTCAAAGAAATTGCAAATAGATCCATCCCCAGGGAGGCTGATTTGTACTCCTATGTGCTAATGTAAGACTAATTCTGTAAATGGATTGGTTTTGCGCCTGTTAGAAATTTAATCTGTCTTCTCTTGTTTAGTAGAAGAAGGGATAATTACTAAGAGCCAAATCAGTGAAAAGTGAAGAAACGGCCTCAAGGTTTGTTCCCAATGTACATCTCCAGGACAAACGGAACATGAAAGCTCTCTAGGTGGTGTTTTAAGAATCCAAGAAAGACACCTCGAACATACAATAGACATGCAATAG